GGCAATAAACCCATCACGATGTGATATATCGTAGTTTTTCATCTATAGCCCCGCATTCTTATACGCAGTGATCATAGGACACCGCACACACCGGCAGCGCCGCGCGACACACACAACAAACACAACAACACACACAACAACCAACACAACACAAAACAACAACAAAGACAAAACAAGCAAAAACAAACAAATACCAAAACACACATACATACAAGCAACACACAAACACACACCAAACACAACACAACAAGACACTGAGAATGTGCATTGTTTCCTGAGAACTTTTGTTGACACTTTGAGAAACTAACCATGAAATTTTCTCCCTGCAGACGCCACAAAGCACGCCAGGCTCAAGTAAAAAAGGCAAGGATTCCCCGCCGTCTGAAGCTGGAGTGACTCCGGAGTCTAGATACGAGACCTTTCTCAAGGTCAAAGTCAACAGACAAACACGCTTGGGAGGTGAGTGGTGATGCAGGTAGATTGTTCGGTTGGTAAATTACTGTTGTATGCGTTTGCTCGACATTTGAATTGACCATAATTGCAAAATATTACAAACCGGTTCAGCATGAATGTATGACACTCGACTAAAAAATTGTGCACACCCTGTAATCACTTGCAATACTGTCACAGGAGTATTGCTGTCTTTATTGCATCTACATAGATAAGAAAGGTATAAGTAATTATGCACATTACACATATCTTGATGTTAAATCTTGATGTTAAATCTTGATAGTAAACGTGAGTGTAAATGGCTCATACCAATGTAATCTTGGTAGAAGGTAGCTGATGTATTTACCACATAACAGAAACTTGTTTTTAAGTTATTATTAAATTATTAAATAACATTATTATTATTATTATCATTAAATACATTGCTACTCATATTATGCCAATTTAATATTCGTTCATATCACTTTAAAGATGTGTAACTTGTTGATATATCTTATCAACTGTTCTGCAACATTTCTCTGATGCAAATACGTGCATGCGTACTTGATTACAGCTCGGTCAGGGAAGAGTAAGAGGAAGAAGGCAGAGGAGGCAGCGTGCCCCGTATGCAGTCGGAAAATCACAGGCAGTTCAGACGAGCTCCACGAACATGTGGAGCAGTGCTTAAGAAAGGTAACTACAGACAAGCTAAGTCAGTGGCAGCCCCAGTCTCACCGAGAACAGGGGTGAAGAGTTACAATGCCAGCTCTCTTGTTATTTCGCCGCTGACCGGGATAGTAAATCACGGCCACTTGTATCTTGCATCGTAACATTATCTAATCTAGACAGTGAAGTTATTGAGTTACTGTTGTTGGCGTGAGTGCAGTGCCACTTTTGCTGAAAAGAATGGATTTATCTTTGAGGTTTTTTTACGTTTAATAATTAGTTTCGCTTCACATTAGACGTGACTTCTGGAAAGCGTATGTGGTGGAATAATCATTCACGGTACCCTGCCCACAATGAAATGTATTCACTTGGAAAAGTTTTCTGGAATAGTATTAAACTTCAGAGAATATCACAACCACATTGTTAACACTTGACTGAAATGCTAGGAGTAAGAGTTGTACATACTTGCCTCTGAAATATTGATGATGCAGCATAGATTTTGCATCAGCATAGTTAGTCGTATATTTCAATGTATTTGAACCGACCACGAAAATAACAACACGCAAATAATTCATACCAAATAATACCGAATAATTCATAACTCACCGACCGCGAAATTAACCACTCGCGAAATTGTCCGTCAAGTCGGAATTCGCGAAAATATCTATACACAAACAATATGGCGTATACAGTACATTTTGCCCTGTGTCGTCTTGCAGCAGAGCGTGGTAAGTGACGATGAGTTGCTGGATGTAGAAGGAGAAGGATTCGAGGAGTACGAGTGGGCCGGACAGACGCGTGTGCGAGCTACGTCCATGGTCGATGGCAAGCTAACAGGTAGGCCCTAGCAGCGCGCACGTACCGGCAACCTGTGATGTCAGAATTCATGTGCTGGGCTAGGTGCTAGTGATGGAAGCTTTACAAACAAACAGAAATTGCTATGATTTATGAGTAAGGAGGAACAAAATGTACTCACTGGAGACTGGACTAAAGCAAGAATGACAGCAGTAAATGTATTGTTACCGCTAGTCTGTCTGACTGGTTTATATGAATAACAAACGTATATTCAGGCTACGGATGCGTATCCAGAAATAATCGCATTATTTTCCATATGGCAGTAATGCTGATGTGAAATATAGTTAGATTTACCTTCCGTATGTCTCGTACATCTACAGTGATTATACAGTGTCATCAAAATATTAGGTAATGAGCCGATCTTGTCATTTTTCATTACCATAATAGGCAGTGTGTAATCGTAATATATACAGATGTTCGTGAGTATACAGATAAAGTAGTTTGAACTAAAATACATTGCTGCCTGGCTATTAATTCTCATTACCAGTGTCGGCCCTATCGCTAACCCTACTACTAACACTTCTTCACTTGAGCATCTCTAACTCTCACTGTCTCGCCTTTCTTCGTAGATCTAGGCTTCCACTCCAGTTTAAAAGCCAGTGAAGCTGAGACTGATGCGGACCTTAACGTGGATGGTGATGATGACGCCATCTATGGGCGGCCACAGTACGGAGAGGGTGATGTGATACCCTGCGCTGCCGAACCAGGGGAAGCTCAAGCGCAACAGGCCCTGAGGGGAGCCGTCGTAGGGTAAGGTTACTATAGGCGGTGCCAGTTGTATTCCCATCTCGGAAAGGTCGTAAATTAGCGTCTAGGACTTTATTTGGATTCGATCTTGGCACAAATAGCATGATTTTAACACGAATCTAGATGAATTATGAATGATAGATGATAATATCTATGGCAATACAGGCAGCATGAATTATGGGAAATGCTTGTAATAATGGACAGCAGATCGAGTTGCATGTATTTGTTGAGAAACCTGTATAGTCAGCAGTGATTTATCTTGTTGTTTGTCTGCAATCAGGGAAGAAGCTTCATCACAGCAGCCGCATCCAACAAGAAACCGCTGGGCATCAGTGTACGAAGGTCAGTCAGAACTCGCCGTGTTTACTACTATATATACTACTGCTGAGAGGGTCTATGTCCCCCGGGGTACTGCCGGAACGTACCCTGGTACTATCTAATATGCCGTACCGTACCTCGCCACTCCACTAACGAGTCTAGGTAGTCGCCTACACCTACTCCCTAACCCTAACCCGAACCCGAACCCTAATCCTAACCCTAACCATATCAAATAGAGACCAGGGTACGTTCTGGTATACCGGACCGTACCCAGGGTACGTTCCGGCAGTACCCTGGGGGACTTAGACCCTATGAGCTATACTACTAGATGTGACTACAGTGTCGCTCCTGAAGCCTGCCATTATTCGCACAGTTTTGCAAGGATTAATGAGTTTATGAAAGGCTACAAAGATTGAAAGTTACATATCAGTAAACATTACCATAAAGCTTGCTTCTTGAGATTATAAACTATGTGTATCATTACACCACGCTTGAGCACATTTGAGCACATAAACTACTAATTAATACAGTTCATTTGATATTGTGTATATCATGGAAATCTCTATACTCTACTATAGATATATTCATGATTATCTGTATATTTTGTTGTAGAGTCGACCTCATCACCACCAGCAACAGACTCGCAGCAACCAAGGTTAGTAGTGAAGGTTGAACCAAAGTCAAGGATCAATGCAATTCAATACCAAAAAAATTGCAAGGCTGCAACTTTTGCAATAGTGGTGTAAATTGGCCACCTAGGCTCCAATCTCGGTTCACCTTAGCTATCCAAGTATTATTTACTATTATTATACAACTATGCTAAGTATTATTAATTTCTGTGCAAGTATACTAAATACCTAAGTAATAAGAATGCTTTAATTTTTTCTCTCCTTTTTGATGATTTTTTATGTTATTTTTAATTTCCTATAAACTTACACAGCTCTGACTCCTTTTATGAAGTTTACCAAATGCTGCCTAACTTGGCAAATATTTACCTGTGAAACCTGTGTTTCGTATCCTGAAGGTTTTTGATCAATCTCCTGCTTTTATCTCAGTTGTAGTACTGCACCATCAACGGTGAAAATAATAGAGTCACTCAAGGCGAAACTTCGGGAACAAGAAGAGCTGTTGAAACAGGGAGACAAATACAAATGCTTAATTTGCATGGTAGGTTAGGCTATTTATAATAACCTCAAATATTTTGTGTTTCGTTGTGTTTATGCTGTCAGTAATTTATTCTGGATCTCGTAAGCATTATTTTCACTTATAACCATGCGTAATGTTTCTGACAACATGCTCCTAAGCATCTACGTAGCTGTTTTAACATGAAATGCTCGTTGCACATTGTAGGAACAGTTTACAACGCCGGTGGTGTCCGTACAATGTTGGCACACACACTGCGAGGAGTGCTGGCTCAGGACCATGGTGAGTTAATTATACGAGGTTCTGGGACCTGTTCAATATCGCGTCTGATTCAATAAAATGCCAATCGAACGTTTCTCGCGTCAAGTGAATTACGATTTTCGGCTGTGACTTTTATTCAGCTTGTTGGGCTACCACGGTGCCGCTTTGGTGCAACTACATGAAATATAAGTTTGAGGAAAAGCTTCAGTTAGCTGTTAGAGTTTTAAGTGTTTGTCTATATATTACTAATTTATACTGTTTATATCATATTAGTACCTATTGAAGTTTTAAGTCACTAGAGCGAGATCTTTGGTAACACACTTGAACTTACATCATGACCCAGAAGTTAAGCACCAGTGGTCTACGTGGAAATTTACTAGATCATATTAAACTTTGGTTTTGTGTGATGCAGGGTGCGAAGAAGCTGTGCCCACAGTGTAACGTCATCACATCGCCGCAGGATTTGAGAAGAATCTACTTGTAAATACGTCTCTGCAAAGTACATCCTGCGTCCGTCACTCACATCGAGTATACGTTACATTACGATTACTGCACGAGGATGCAATATAACTGCAATATTGCTGACAGCAGTCCTAGGGCACATGCGAATCTTGTTGAGCTACCCCGTGTTATCTATTTATACCTTTCTATGGCCGTAAATCGTGGGGGAGCAAGATCTTGCTGTTCACTGAGTGGCTGATGAATATTAATGAAACATATAAAATGGTGTATAGTGATTTAAGGCATATACGTCGTGTATAGGGAGACGGTTCGTCATAAAGCTCGAGCCCGGTGAAATGCTCCTATTTCAGGAACTTCTCTTGTTGTCTGAAAGAAATTCCTTCTATTAGTTTCATGCACTTCAATGAACTTCACATCCCTGTAGATTTTTCACTCCGAAAAATTTATTGTAAAATTGATCTCCCATCAGTTGCATTTCAAGACAGATTTGCATGTATCATAAAGTAATGCACATGTGGAAGATAATTTACATTGTTCTTTGCTTCCGGTAAATACGTGTATTGTTGTGTGGAATATAAGGTGCCTTATGTGCTGCAAAATAATATACATATTTTTAATCACCGTAAAAAGATTCACTTTACACAATGACGTGCATTGGTCTGCGATACATGTAAATCGTTATATCAATCATGAAGCGAGAGTATGTGCGAATCGTGAGCTGTGTAGTGTAGTTGTGGCGAAATATACATCTTAATATACTCCCTTTAAATCCCCTGTACCATACAGCCTCGTTTGTGAGCTTAGTATTCTAGCTACGAAACAATTCATTATTATATAAATGCAGTAAACGCTGTTATTTAAACGACTTATTTTCTATAGACCACTAGGATGATCACTCACATTCAAAGTCCCTTTTGTTTACATATTTAAATCTCAAACGGTAATTCATGATATACGATCATTTTCTTCAGTCAGCGATCTAATAGAGAGTGCGGTGGGTTTATATCTGTTGTTAGCAATATCTTGATTTCTGTAATCGAGTGCATCTAATAACACACGTATCGGACTATCCGAACATATTTCCAGAATAAAAAAATAAAATAAAAGACAGCAGCATGCCTGAGTTTGTATGGCAGGTCAAAACGTTTCACTGGATTATTTCATCTAATTTTACTGTGTTGCATTGGTAGCGTAATACGATTTCCGCCATCTCTCCCTCTCTCTCCATCCCTGTGCTGCCCACTTCTCTGTCACCATTTTCGCTATCCGTCTATCTATCTCCCTCTCATTTATACAAAAGGCTTAAAAGTACGGAATTTACAATAAAGAAAAAAATAAAATTATAGTGTTTACTTGCTTCCACAAATTGCTCTGTGTAATGTGCAGTCTTGACAACCAAATGAACATTAAAACTAAGCTCCTATTACCTGTAAAAAAACGCATTCTTTTATGTCACATGCGGTGTACCGTGTACGTAAATCTTTTCACGACAGATATGACAACTTTATTGCAGTAACCTTCCTGGATACGTTTTGCCCATTGTTAACGCGATTGCCTTCATTCACTCGCTTCATGCTGAATCTTATACCAATTTTACATACGGACTCATAAGTGCTACAAAAAGTATTGTGGGAGATGGACGTGGTTCGTTCTGTATAACGGTCATGAGATTTCTGTTAATGGAATGTTGTGTGACTTGTCGCGAGAAATTCGTTCTTGTAAAGACGTGACTTTGTGATAGAGATGTTGGCTTTAATCACTTTAATTATTGCTGAGAGGTTATTTAATTGGTAGTTATATTGATAAATGTTGTGCTTTTAGTGTTTCAATCATGCATTCATCCGACGTTTTCTGCGTTTTATAATGTGAACATCACAAATCAGTCTGGCTATCATTGATTTTTCAGGTATGAAGCACCTAAATAATTTAAATATAATCATTAGCCAAAAACCCTAAGCTGGCAATTTAAAAATATCACTTTACGAAATCATTAGATAACTCGTGTCAGAAATTATTACAACGACAAAGTTCATATAACTTCTCGATGCCGTGTTATTACTAGCAGTAGAGTCACCGCGGGCACTACTTGTGATCAGACTCAATGTGGTAACAGTAGTTCTACATTATTGTGTTATTAACCTTTCAAGCGGAAGCCTCGGTAAGTGCGTACGAAACGTGGTGGCGTTTAAATTACGTCGCTTCAACAGCGCGTTGTAAAATCTTACCAAAATTGTATTGAGAACGTTATAAAAATGCCTTCGCTGAAATTTTCGTGTAATGCTGTTGTTCCGATTCTCTTTGAGTTCAGTCCTGATACGCGATAACTCCACATAGTATCGACTAGCCAGTTACCTGTCTGGTAGCCCTCCTAGTTATAGCAAGTGATATGTAGGCCCTACTATTTAAACAGTCTGTTACGACGTGAAACTAATGTAATGGAACATTTTTCGTCGTTTCATATTCATATATTTTTTTGCCTGATTAAACGTTTACGGGGTCCATTTTTCATCTTCCTATATTAAGGAAGCTGCGATTATGTTTTACATTATATAACAACTGACAGTTTGGGAAGTCTACCTTTTTAGCTTGTGTAATGCACATCACGCCGTCACAACTGTCTACAAAGAAAGCATACATAAAAAGCTGTCGCTAGAGAATGGAAATTCAATATTATATAGAGTGGCGTAAATATATAAACGTGCTGTAAACTACATCGATAGCAAGGCCATGAGTTCGATATAATTACAAAAGATTGAGCTGAAACGGATTGATCAATTTAACCTAGACTGCCGACTTTAGTTCACAGGGTAAAGGAACACGCAGGTAGTTTACTCTATCAGCAAGTTGAAGCTTTTCATTTATAATACAGATCGGGCACGAATAATAACTATTAATAAACGTGCAATTCGATTAGTTCTGTAAATGCGAAATTTTAGAATGTATCCTGATTTTAACTTCTGTTGTAGTTGTACTAGGAATAACAATATATAATTGTGTTATTATTGTAATCAGCAGGCGGCGACGGTTCTAAATAATCCACACCCAACAATAAAGGTTAATCGCAGACCATTTACATAAAATTATGTAAGTAAGAGACGCAAGAAAAAACTCGGAGTTACAGCATAAAAGATAGGTAGAAAATCGGAACATGTGTCATTGATGGATACATAATTATTGTTTGTGATGTGACAGATCGCCATTGAATAGATCGAAACGCGTTTCTCTCCCACCAAAGCGGTCCGGCTTAGAAAGCAATACACCGATTATGCGGCGGTGGCGCAGTCGGAGCACAAGCTCCGAGTGGAATAATTCGCTATTGAGTATAGTAGATGTATTCGTAAAGATACATCACATCGACATACATCAGATCATCTGAATCAGCTACAGCTTCAGAAGTTTAGAGGAAGGCTCGATGAAGAAACTGTAGAAATGACAAGTGCTCTTCATAAGGACCTATAGTAGACGTTGTTAAAGGATTTGTCGAGCTTTTAAATGTCAAAATAACCCAGTCACACTTGTATATCATAGATATAATTATATTCTTCTAATATTTCAAATAATCTGTCAGAATCATCACGCAGTAATGTTGCTACATGGGCTAACATATGAGAAATTACCGCGCTCAGATAAAAATTGCTGTGGGCGATTACTTGCACGCGACGTCACATCTCTCCTGCCAAGCCGGCATATGCCATATATAGTTAGGCGATCTCGTATTTATATACGGTGTACGCTGCGTGTTTAGCGTGGAGTTCAAGTGTAATAGTCAAAATTTCAACATTGTTTATTAATATAATTAGCTATAACAATTTGAACTGCTTGCAAGAGGGGTAAAATAAGCATCTAACAGAATTTGAGAGCACTGATACATTACATAGGAAGAAAACAACAACGGTGAAGATATATCATATCAAGAGCTCATAATAGAGATATAATCTCTGGCTCTCAACATTGGAGACTGTGAATCTCCCGTGGCTCGGATGAGCACGTAAAATGGCGGTCCCGTCTCCAGTAATACTAAGGCCAATGGGGACGTAAAAGAACCACTGAGGGCGCAAAAAACTGGCTGTGACCACCCTCAGTGCCATTCGGCTAAAATGCCAACTACCTGGCTTTTCCCATAGATATTATGCCCAAGCTACTTATACCCCCTTCACATACACGGATTTTTCTTACGAGTCCTTACGGATCGCACAAATTCGTAAAAGTACACGGATCCTTACGATTTGGCCACTGTTACGAGCGATTTACGTGTTATTACGAGCTATTTACGGTTTATTACTGATTATTACGAGTTATTACGATGTATTTACGGCAAAATTCCACGATTTGTTAAGAGTTGTCACGGATATATTACAGAATGTTACGATTCATCGAAGCTTTTACGTGTTAGTTACGACCTGTTTACGTGTTGTTACGAATAGGTACGAGTAATTACGAGTCCTTACGATTTTTTGGCAAAAAGTATATAAAAATCCTGCAAATCTCAATCTATCATCAACTTGTTGACTGCCTTCTTCTTTGGAGCCATGCTTGTAGATATTGTAGAGTAGATAATTTATGCAGAGATGTGACTTCTCTGACTTCTTGATTACAACTGAAAATGACGTGTTCGATTTTGCAGCCTTTCCCAAATCGTAAACAATACTACCAAGTCCAAAGTACCAAGTCCTGTTGGCCGGGGATGGAAGATTGAGAAGGAAGGAGATGACCAGTAACTGTGGTGGTGCACTGCATGGTCAGCCAGCACATGAGGCGGTCCTTGATTTATTGGCCTGCAATTGTACACGAAAGTGTTTACTACCAAAATGTGTTTGTCAAACGGACTGAAATGCACGGATATGTGCAGACTGCCAGACTGTGAGAACCAGGCATCCATCTTTGAGTTAGATGATGGGGAAAGTGCAGATGAGGATATTGAAGAACTGGATAATGATTATGATTTTTAAGTTCATCTTGAACACAGACCTAGGTAATGGCCTTGGTAGCGTGGAACACCACATTTGTTTTTCTATTCTGTAATTTTAAGTCATACAACAGAAGATTGTTTCATTTTCACCTTTGACTCATTCATCAGATTGCACATGATTAACCATCTTACTACTGTCTTATTGGTTTATATTGTGTAATACAGGTGTTTGATACCTTCATATGTGCATTATTGAGTATTTAAATCCCTAAAATTCTGTATTTTTTTAGGAAATATAGGAAAAAAATATTAATCTTGTTCATGAACATGCTATCATTTACTTTTGTTTGCTTCTAGGAAAGGATTCTGCTATACTGGTCTTAATATATAACATACACAAAAGAAATTTAGATTTGTGGATTTCTTAATAAATTTGGTACAAACCCATATAATTATGTTCCAGAACTTTTACTTACTTTTCTACAATAAATGATAGACAAATCCTCCTCTAAAGATGGTATAATTTATCACACAGGAAATAGGTACCGATACTATAATTGTCACCAATGACATACTTTTCAACCTAGGCATGTTTAGCACATTTTGTTGAGAAGCAAATGATCCTAGCAAAAGGTGGGACAAATTTCAATGTTAAAGTTTGACTGATAAAGAGATGCTGTTACTTTGCCAAAAATCACAATAAGAATTATTCCCCCCGGATGGTACCGACCAACGCTACAGGATCATGGACTATGTGCTTACACTCGTATTGTTGTATCGTTCTCACTGCGAAAGAAGGTACTTGGCCTATTTCATAGGCACACTAGGGAATGATGCAAATGACGCAAATGGCCCGTCACTATGTGTGGTGGCCAGACATTAGCCAAGATATTGAGAAACTCGTCTAGTGCTGCGAGCCGTACGTGTCGTTTGTCAGCTAAACTGCCAAACAAAACGTTTCAAGAGTGGCCACAAACAGAGAAGCCATGGCAACGAAATCAGCTATATTTTGCAGGCCTTTATAAGGGGAAAAGGTAACTAGTTTGCATTGATGCTCACTTAGTTTGTATAGGTCACCATGTTGAGCCTTGGTAAAACAATATCACGTGACACAGTCGATGTGTTGAAACAAATCTTCACTAAAGAGGGATTCCCGGATAAGATTGTAACAGACAACGGGCCCCAAATTGTTTCACACGAGTTCGAGGAAATCTGTGTGCAACTGGGCATTCAACATGTCACCTCGCCACAGTTCCACCCTGCCTGGAATGAGAAAGCAGAGCGTTTTGTTCACTCTATTAAAACTGGAGAAGCGAACTTGCGGGAGGAGCGAGATTAATAGATGCAATTAGTCTATTCTTAGCCACGTACCTGTGCTCGCCACATCTTGGGTTGGCGGGGAAATCGCCTGCTGAAGGGTGTTAACTTAGAAATCTACTGTCACTACAGTGGCCACAGGAAGCTATTCGGGAGGATCACATTAACAATTAGAGGTAAACATTGTTCTGACATTGAATCATTAGTTTATGCACGAAACTACACCTGCGGACAGTAGTGGGTGCCGGGAACTGTCATAAAACTATTGGGCAAGTGTTAGTCAGCGTCCAGACAGATCACGGTGTTTGGACACGTACATGTAAATCAACTACAGCCAAGAATGAGTTCACATGACGTTCAGCCGCAATGTGGTGAATGCAAGGTTAACACTATACAGCACGTGAGATACTTCCTAACCCCGAACCTGTCGTGGGACGAGTTAGACGGTGACTAGAATTTTACAAATCGTAGAATATTGTGATAGATGGTTCCCAATTAGAGGGGAGGAAGTGATATAATTCACTTTATTTTCTATTTCTGTGAAATCAGTTAGTCCGTCTTTTCACCGCAGGTGTCAGTTCAAATTTGCAGCGGCACGGTCCCCCTATTGGCCATTAAATACAAAACAGGGAATTACATTATGGGAATTCACTGGGAATTCGCTTAGTCTGAATTCGTGGGCAACAGTGACTGACTTGACACAGCGTTTGCTGGTAAGCATGTCATCGTAACATCGTTGAAAATTTTTGGCATCTAAAAGCGCACGAAAAACTATAATAAAACTGAAATAACCTTAATTACCTCAATGACTACGCCCACCGCATGCCACTCACGATGTTTACTCGGTGACGATGCCCTCGCAAATCCCATTGGTTGATACAAATCATGTGCCTCAAACTCCTCAATGACGCCCCAGTGTATTTAAGGCACATCCATAACACAAAACCTCAATGCCTCGATAGCTGAACGCATAGAGCAGAGACGACACTGCTGAAATGTCGTTGGATCGAATCCCGTCTGTTTTTTAATTATTTTCTTGTTTTCTGTATTTTTCTGTTTATCCATATTACGGTTGGTAGCAAGCAGATGCGTGATATTGTTCGATACAAGCGCACGCACGCACGTGTACGTACGCACGCACGCACGCACGCACGCACGCACGTGTACGTGCACACACACACTCATGCACGCACGCATGCACGCACGTGTACGTGCGCACGCACGCACGCACGTGTACGTGCGCACGCACGCACGCACGCACGCACGCACGTCTACGCACGCACGCACGCACGCACGCACGCACGTCTACGTGCACATGCATGCACGCACGCACGGTACATGCAACACACGGACGCACCGACGCACGCTGTCACGATGCACCACCACACGCGACGTGCACGCCCTACGCACGATGTACTGCCCAGTGCACGCACGCACACTTCATGCTCGCGCACACTCATGGGATTTGGGAGCTATCAGGCACAGCTGGTAGTATTTCGCCGTTCGCCTGTGGATTGACGGAGGCAAGTTCTTTCAGTGATTGCTCAATGCAATAGCTGATGTTTCATGTGGTAGCGAATTCGACCCGCTTGTACAACATTACACATAGCTAGCATGCGTCAGGCAATTACTTGCACACCTTGAAGACACGTACGGCTTCGTAGCCACGTGGGCAGCCAGGACGGATTGGGAAAGGAAAGCCTTTGCTGCACCACTTGACCCTATCAGTTGTAATGTGGACTGGAGCAGCCTGCAGGGGTTCCAACACTGGGGTCACTTAGACTGCTAACCAGCGTGGTTGTCCCAACGGCTGTATATAAGCTGCGGCGTCCAAGCTCCAAAGCAACACAGAGCCAGTTGGCCTCAGTCAGGGAAGCTCTGCACCCTCCCCTACTGCTCTCTAGCTGCTAGCTGACCATGGTAGGGTGTAGCGGAGCTCCGGTCCTGAAGTCTACTCGAAGGATCACAGCTCCAGCTCGGACGATGATCACGACCGGCTTGCTGCCGCCTTCCTGACGCAAGGAATACACAGCGCGGAGCGCAGGCTCGGGCATCAGCTCAGGGATACTCGCCACTGCCTCTCACTGCTCAGCGCTCACGGCACAGCACGTTAAGTTCGTGCACGCACGCATGCACGCACGTGTACGCTCCGCAGCGCACGCCCACGCACAGCAGCACGTGTACGTGCACGCCATAAACAGGCGCTTTCTATCAGAACATGTGGTCATTCATCTGTAATGTCAAGCAGCACGGCTTTGCTTCTGCCAACCACGAACACATAACAAATACAAGTGACCGTGATCTATGAACGTCACGTGAAAATCGCTATTAGGCTGCGCGATGGTGTTGTGCATATGTTTGCTAGTGAATTAGACCCGCTAAAATTCGAGACTGTTCGCTGGCAGCAATTGATCCGTGCGCCGGCCTTTCGATTGGCGCACGGGATCAAAAGCTGCAGCGGCGCGTGATACTTTCGTAGGACGTTCCGCGGTCGCGTGGCGCCTGTGCGCGGAACTGCGCGCAAGATTCGCGCTTAGCGAGCAGCGTATCAACACCTCTCAGGCAAACTCTTCCTCTGGTATCCGGTCTCTCATCTGGTTTGGCTTCTACAAAGTAGGTCAAGCCGCAACGCAGGTGTGCGTTGCACTCGCTTTGTGGTAAAACTGGCTTGCAGTGTTTGGTACACGCAGGGACGTTTTGTAACAGCTCTAGCCGCCATAGCTGTAATGCAGTGTTTTCTGAGTTAATTAAGTTGTATTAAACATTCTCTTGATCAGTTATTGTTCTTCCGACAAGACATAACAGGGTAAACGTCATAGATGGTGGACTTATGCAACTTACTGCTACTGCAAGAGTGACATTATTTATTTTACTGATTACACATACAGAAGGACATGACTGAGTTAACTGTGAGTCTATAGAGGTTAAAGAAAAAGATTACAGGGGTTACACTTAAACTACAAGAATAGAACATTACCAGATGTTAAATACCCAGCATAGTTTTTGACATTTTCTAACCACGAGCTGAGATGACTTTTGCACTTACAAAAAATGCAACAAATGCACATTAAAGCATATAGATAACGTATGAAAAAAAGTTAACCCTGGTTTTTGCAGCGTTATATAGATATTAGATATTAGATTTAGCACTTTTGCAAACATATAATTCATATAATTACACTATTATAAACGTGCTTACAACAATGCCATAAAATGTGCAGAATGAATAACATCATTTAAACACTATTGTATTACAGCCTTGTCAAACTCAATCAGCCTGTGCATTTTTTAATCGATTAACCTGAATATGGCTGTCAAGAAGTATATTTAGCTCGATGTTATTGTATTCTTTACTAATACTTATCTAATGAATTTTAATCAAAATGTGAGTGATGTCCTGCCGTTTCCTTGTGCCATCAAATGCTTATGTTTCATTTAATATCTCAAAAGAGCTAAGAAGTTTCAGGAAGAAATTATTATAAAATAATACATAATTCAAAATAAACTTATATACTAAGGTATAGATATTAGTACTGGGAACAGTCATGCTTAAACAGTGAAACATGCAGGTGAATAGAAACGCTGCTGCAACCACTTCGCAAAAACCAAAATTTTCTCATCATTTCCAAACTCGACATGTGTTGTCTTTACTCCCTGAAGAAGAAAAAGTATGATTTACAATTAAAGCATTTTGTTACAATTTGATCATAAAATCAAAACGTTTTAGGACACCTAGCAACAAGAGCCGGATTTGTACTAAAACTGTATAAACCAGTGTCACTGAAACCGTGAGGGGTGAGGAAAAACTTCAGAGATGGCTTACACCGTACAGATTTACTAAGTGGCAGCACAAAATTCCAAACAGCCACTATACAGATTATTGGCAATTGTTCTGCTGGCAGCATCTAAATCATGACACTATAACTACTATTACAGGGTGTCTGTATCATCCGCAGTGTTTGTGAAACATGTATATCAATGCTAAAAAGACACATCTGGCGACATATGGTCATACAGCCACTAAAGCTCATAGGGTCTATGTCCCCCAGGGGACTGCCGGAACGTACCCTGGGTACGGTACGGTATACTGGAACGTACCCTGGTAACTATTTGATATGGTTAGGATTAGGGTTAGGGTTGGGGTTAGGGTTAGGGTTAGGGAGTAGGCGTAGGCAACTCCCTAGACTCGTTAGTGGAGTAGGAGAGGTACGGTCCGGCATATTAGATAGTACCAGGGTACATTCCGGCAGTACCCTGGGGGACATAGACCATCTCAGCGCCACTAAACGTTGCCCATTGACCCTAAACATTGACCATATGTACAATATAAAAAGATTGCAGGTGATGTCATTGAGAATTGTGCTCTAATATTGTGACTACTGCCTTAAGCTAAGGAATGAAATGCACTCTGGCTTAGAATGGTCTTTGTCACGTACATTTAAGACCCAACTCCCACCTGCCCTTGTTTCTATAGTACCACTAACTTCTGCTATAATTAATATGGAATCATTTACTACAGTTATGGACTGCTGGAATATTCGCACAATGCTTGTTTTTAAGGTTACGGGGACAGTTTATGTGTTGATCAATCAAGTGAGGGTATACCTCAAGATAAGTAAAGCATGCTTTATGGAAAATTTGTTAGTATTGTTGACAGCTGCGTGGGCAGATTGCCTTAATTTGTCATGAATGAGCTGCTCTAAGCATGTGAGCAAAAATGCCTGATAGCTGCATAGTATGACCTGAAATGTGTAAGAAAACTACAAATCAAAACAAACTCACATAACTCATCTCATGTGCAAGCTTATATACCTGTGATGATGGTGTCTCCTTCATAGTTAAACACACAGCTGAAGATTTCATCCACATGACCTTCTAGTATCTGTGTACACTCTCCAGTGTCTGGGCTCCATAACCGTGCCGTTTTGTCTGCACTTGCCGTCAAGACCTTGGTACCTTGTGGGTTAAATGAGATCTGGTAGAAAATGGAAATATGTATGACTCAGTGAAAATTAACAATGCCAAGAGGGCACTAGGTTAGGTGGTCCGAGAAGTTTTGAATATACAAATAACACTTCATCACGTGAGTAATACTTTATTCAATGTACGTGCTTAAGCCAAAAAAAAATATACCATGTTTGGGGTCACCCCACTGACCCCTTAAAATGAACAATTTATTGCTGACCTTAACGTGTTTTTGTAAGAAATTGTAATAAGTAATTTACCTTATTTCACCAGCAGGAAATCTAATAAAACTAGCCTTGTTTTGTGTTTATTTGTTCAAATACCATAGAAATATCTCCACTGCCTAATCATAGGCAGTGGAACACTAATATAAAAAATGTAAACAGTTTGTCGGTGTTTTCCCGGAGCTATACTACGTGTCGGCAGACAGAATTCTGCCAGACGGTACCGTACATCATACCCATCGGTATGTATTTTTCACATATTTTAGTTGGTCTTTTGCTTATATCTTATTGCAGAAAATCACGGAAATAATAAACCTGCTAAAATGATGCTTAATCATGTATGCCAGCGCCGCATAGTAGAGCACCAGGAAACCAGTATAACTGCGTGCGTGTATAAATGACCGAGTGAAGTGCATTTGCATTCATAGACAACCCAGGGTTTCCCCTGCATTGACACGAGCGAGGCGGGACGCCTCGCTCAAATTCTCAGCCGCCACATAGAAATTTGTCCAAAACACCGCCTCGCTGACGAAAATCACTCTTAAAAAGAAAATCACTGTTGGAAAGTCTCATACAATGTGTTCAGAATAGCTTAGAATGCACCAAATTGCACATTTTATAAAAAAAATTCTGGAGGGGGCAATATATGCCCCCTCACCCCTCTAGCTGGCAAACACATGCAGTGCTCGCATTGCTTGTGTAATGGCCCTAAGGGTAGCGACTACGGTACGACAGGCATTATATAAATAACGCGCGTCCTAGTTGTTTGGATTCAGTGTTCGCTCCTGCCGGTATATTAGGCAGGACGGTGATGCCCGTAGCAAATAACAGGTAGTACCAGTGGAACAGAACACAGTTAGATTCATTTAACTGTACGGTTATAGTTTTATTGCTTTCTACTAGTTTACAAATAATTCCCCTGCATTCGTATATGCATCGGATCCTATATCTATCTCATCTAATATTACAGCATTAACGCGTCGCCGGCTTCGTCTTCCTCTCTCACGGTCGTCCTTGCTTCGCGTAGACCTAGGCAGCCTCCACGGGTGTCTCCCTCGTAGTCGCTCCTGGCTCCACCTAACTGAAATCCCGTTCTTCTCCACCTGTAGTGAAAGATCCCGGCTGATCCCTCCTTTTCCCTGTAGTCTTCTTTCCTTCCTGAAAACCCGTGCTTCTCGTCCCTCCGTTATCTCACTCCTCGAGACCTAAAATGCTTTCTCCCTCTTTCTCTTTGTCCCCTTCTTCTTCTTCTTCTTCTTCTTCCTACTTAGACCTGAAACATAACGCTTTTCTTCTTCTCCTTCTTTCTCTTCTTCTTCCTACCTAAACCTAACCTGAAAAATAATGCTCTCGTGCTGCGATTTGGTGCGCCTTATATACCTAGCTGGCAACGCCCCCTATGTGCCGTTGTTTTGCACGCGTTGTCAAAACACCCGCCGATTTCGTTCGCTGGTGCAATCGCTTTCACCTCGTGACGCAAGCCGTGGCTGGTACCATGATTGCATCATCTTATGTAACTCGTTTCTAAGTAAATATTCCTCTCTCCGACAACTAAGACAATTTATTCTAATCCAATCTCCTCATATATCATGTTGACCACTAGTACATAACCGCGTTGCTTATTCTATTCTATTTATCGCGTTATCGCTTTTCGCGTAAACACTCCTTGTTTTCCCCGACCATAGCAGTAGCAGTGATAGCCTGATCCAAGATGGCTGCGCCCATGAACGTGCGTTTTGATATATTTATGTGCGGTCTATATTTTATCCTCTCTTTAGTCAATATATGGCTATTCCATCTATACTGTGAGTTCAATCTATCCATCCGGATCTAGTCTACTGCTCTTGTGAGTTACACACCCCCGAAATCTCCACAACTCCCCCAACTTCTATTAGTATCCGCCCTCGGATACGCCTTTGTCTTCCCCCAATGTATCCGTGAAATAAAACTTCGAAGCCTTTTCTGTTTTATATAAATATAACTCCTATATTCCCTTTTACAGTATAACAAAAATATAAATGAGTCCTGTATATACTATATATATCTTTTTACTCATATTCCTATACTGAGAGGTAGTTGAGTTATTCGTGAGACTTTATAACACGGTAACAGTAACAATATATATATATATATATATATGTATAAAAATATCACAATCGATTAATACTACTTCTTGGCTAATTCTACCTGTACATATAGCGGTTATAAGTATAAAATAAATTGAGGTATCTAATGTGTTTCCTTCCTCTCCTTCCCCCCTAGCCTCTCGTCTCACCTCTCTCTCTCAATCTGCCTACCTCCTCCTTCAACGTAACTATCTCCTTCTTCGCCCCTTCCAACTCGAACCTTACTTGCTCCCGTTCCGCCTGCCCCTCCTTCTCCAGCTGCTCCCTATACGACTCTTCCTCCTCCACCGCTTTCATGCCCCTCCTTAACTGTTGCCGCCTCCCCATTATCCTTCGATCGCTCCTCTCCTTCCTCCTCTCCCGTAAATCCTGCGGCGTTCCCCCTTCCTGGTAGACAGTTGCGACCCTGCCGATTGACGAGACAGGGGTTCTGCCCTGGTCCTTGGCCGGCTTCCAGCCCCAGGCGAACGGGAGGTCCAGGAGGGTCACCTCTCGTTCTGGATGCCGCTCCTCCCAGCATCGCTGAGGCGACCACCCCGCCCTGACCAGGTAAAAACGGGCCTTCCGCTCCGCCTCTCGCTCCACCTGTCGGGCGCCGGTAATCTCCTTGGGCCACTGCCCCCCTCGGGTACCCGTCCTCCTCCGTGGCCGAGTTCCCCTGCTGCCCTCGCTCTCCTCACCTCCCGAGATCGTCTCCCCCTCTCGCGGCATCAGTTCCAATTCCATCGAGACTCCTGAGTAAAGAAAATTAAATAAACCAAAACCAAAAAACAAAATAAACAAAATCCAAAGCGATGATCCTGCCCCCTAAACAAAACAAAACAAAATGTTGGCCCCTTCCCTAGAAATCCATCCTCTGTGGTGGTTTACGGGCTCTTGTCCCCCGCCTCAGACCAAGATCTACTTCATGGGCCTGTTCCGTCGTTTCCTCCTCTTCTAGGGCCGGTTCCTGAAATAATAACTCCCACGGGATTTCCTCCCCCTCATTATCGCCTTCCTCGACATGGTCTGTGGGCTCCCTGTGCTCTTCTCTCGGGGGTTCTCGCCAATCTTCCAGTGGTTGCTCCGTTTTATAGTAGTCGATGTGCACCACTTTTCTTCTTGCCCGTGGCTCCCGCTGTATGACGTAGAGTAGGTCACTCACTTTCTGGATAATTAAGTACGGCCCCTGCTAGCCATGTCCTAACTTTCTCCGAACGGCCGGCAGGTACCAATACCATGCGAACTCTCCCTCTCGGAAGGTAATTGGCCTAACACTTTTATCGTACGCCCGCTTCTGTCGTCTTGCCGCTTGTTTTAATGTTGTTCTCGCAAAGTCGTAGGCTTCCCCCATGACGTCCTGGATCCATTGCATGTACTCATGAGAACACTTCCCCACGGTACCTGGCGGTGGTCCTACCATGACGTCCACTGGCATATGTATCTCCCTTCCAAACATCATTAAATTCGGTGAACACCCAGTAGAAGCCTGTGCGGTCGCTCGGTAAGCCGTCGCGACGAACAGTAGATGATCATCCCAGTCGTCTCGGTTTTGGTTAGGGGTGAGTATTGCGACCAAAAACCGTATTGCAATATATTGCAATACGACAAAACCGTATTGCAATATTTTCCAATACGTATTGGGAAGTGTATACGATGCATGATATAGTAACAATTTGATGGTTTTAATATCATCATATATTGTATTATATGACATGATTTAATTTCTCATGTTTTTCTTGAGAAACAGAAGCACGGCAATGTTTTCCGCTGACAGTGCAGCCCTCTGTGCCGTAACAATGTCACCCGCTGTACTGAATACCCTCTCAGAAGGCACTGACGTAGCTGGAATACACAATACCCCTGCTGCATAATTGGCTGAAACTGAAACTGAAACTGAAACTGAAACTGAAACAGTGGGTGCTCGCTTCAGCTTGTATCGCGCGCGCGCGGGCACTCAGGTGAGCATAGGCTATATATAGACTCCCTAGTTGCCGTGCTCTGTGTCTCGCGCACACGTCTGCCCCACTCTGCCCGCGCAGTAGTACTGCGCAGTGCTCCATGCAGTGGCCGCTTACCAGTAATACTGTATGCGTCGTGCACGCATTGTGCTTTCGTAATATATACACCGCCAGTGCATAATTTTCGAGCCCATTAACAATATAGACATAAAGGCAAGTGTCAAGTAATTTATTTCTGTGTACTATACCAACCGTATCGTAAATTATCGATATCCGGAAGTGTGTTATCGCCTGTTTATATCGTGTGTTTTCGAAAATATATTGCAATCTATACCCGATATACGGCTTATGTTCGTTACACCCTGTTATTGCGTAACAAATAAAGAGAGCATTTGTGAAGGCGTCTTCATGATATCGTTCTACCTAAGTCGTCAGGACCTAGGATGGGGATAAGGTGTGCTGTCCTTGTTTTGCTCTATTTGCAGGATCTCACAGGATCCTTTGAAGTAAGCGAGATTCGAAATCCGGTCCTTCAGTCGGGTTGTGGATTTTTACGGAACCCCGTTACCGGCAGAAATGCGTATTCTGTCACCAAGACGTGCTGCTACTGTAATATGCCTCGCTGATTCGGGGCAAGCGCAAAGCATGTCCGATCCACTTGTATAAAATAGTACGTTCGCATACTACCATGATTCACCTTTATTCCCTCTCTCCGCGTTCTCTTCTAATCGGACCCATTGATGTTCGTTGGCACCAATCACGTTCGAACAGAGCGCCACTTCCGATGTTTTAACCTTCGTCCTTTGTTAAACCCTTTCCAGGCTTTTCTCAGGTGCACAGGAAGTGCCAGTACTGGCACCTCTCTTTGATATCCTTCCGTGTAGGACAGTGTTGGACAGTAGAACCGTTGCTGAATTGCTTGCTCTACTCCGTTTCTTCGACTTGATGTCCTGCTGTTACGATGGTAATGTACATTACATGAAATAATTTCTCTTCGGCTGCTTCTTTATGTATTACCAGTTCTGAAAGTATATGGGATGATCGGCGTGGACCGGCTGTCTCTCCCATCGTCTATACAATTTTACCTTTCCATGCACCTCTAACTGCATTCCACTGCCCCCAGTACGCCGTTTCGCCTCCGACCCCATTCCTGCAATTTCTGCAAACTCAGGTCTGTCCAACGCCGCTTCTTTTCGTTCCTTGAAGAAAACAATCACAGGGTCCTTATCCTGTAATCTCCTAATATTTTCCGGGTTCCATACATCATGGTCTTCCCCCTGATCCTCGGGATTTTCTCTGCGATCCTCTCGCTCTCCCTCGGTCACTACTAACACCTGCCCATGCTGCTCCTTATCCTCACATGAAGAACCGTCTCTCCTCCCATTACGACTGGGTGGTTCATATCTCCATGTAGAATCCTCTCGTCCCCCACTGCAGCTGGGTGGTTCTTCGCTACTACTCTCCTCATCTTCTTCCTCCTGAACGTGCGTTTCCTCTTCCTCTCATTGCTGGTCGGACATCCTCTCCCATCATTCCATGCCTGCTATCTGGGCAGTTCTCGTTCGGGCATTTCCCGACTGTCTTACGTGACAACGCATCCACATTCTGGTGATGCTGTCCTCTCCGGTGCTCAATTTCAAAGTCGTACGTATCTAATAATGCTACCCATCGTGCTACCATCCCCTCCGGGTTCTTGAAATTGACCAACTAAGTCAACGATGCATGATCCGTTCTTATCTTAAATGGTCTTCCCAATAGATAATGGTGGTACCGTTTGACAAATACCACTACTGCTAACAATTCTTTCTTGGTCGTACAGTATCTCGCCTGTGAGCTGTTCAGCGTCCGACTGGCATATGCTACTACCTTCTCTTCGCCATTCTGAACTTGCGACAACACAGCTCTTAGGCCTGTATTGCTTGCATCAGTATCCAGTATGAACTTGTCCTCCGACGACGGGTAAGCTAATATCGGCGCGGAGGTCAGTGATCGCTTAAGTTGGCCGAACGCTCTTTCCTCTTCCTCCCCCCATCTAAACTTAACTCCCTTTTTCGTCAGCTCCGAGAGAGGCGCTGCTATAGTAGAAAATCCAGGGATGAATCGCCTGTAATATGAAGCAAGTCCTAGAAAGCTTCGAGTCTCGAGCTTCGAGTCGCTACGGCTTCTATCTTGGCCGGGTCACATTCTAATCCTTCTCCCGTCACTATATGCCCTAGGTATTTAACTGTCGTCCAAAATACATGGCATTTCGCTGGCTTTAATTTCAGGTTGGCTGCTCTCAGCCGGTCGAAAACTGTCTCTAGATTCTCGAGCGTCTCCTTGAACGTCTTTCCAAAGATGATGATGTCATCCAGGAAAACTAAGCACTTCCGGCCTAGCAAGCCTCGCAAGACCACACCCATTAGTCGCTGAAAGGTCGCCGGTGCGTCATACAATCCGAACGGCATCCCACGAAAACGTCACAAAGCGTCTATTGTGGAGAATCCTGTGACATCCTTTGACTCCTCGTCCATTTCTACCTGCCAGTAGCCTGCTGCTAAGTCTAATGTTGCAAACCAGTAGGGTCCTCCCAGTGCGTCAAGCAAATTGTCCATTTTAGGTAATGGGAACGCATCTTTTCGAACTACGCAGTTAACCCTTCTGTAGTCAAAACCGGACACTTACAAAACCAATACAAAACCGGACACTTCCATCCTTCTTGGCTACTAACACGACCGGTGAAGCCCAAGCTCCGCTCTCTGGTTCGATAACTCCCTCCGCTACCATGTCTGCTATTTCTTTATCCATATCCGCCTGCCGGTGGAACGGAACTCGACGCGGTGGCTGCTTTATCGGTCGAGCATCACCTATATTTATCTTATGCTTAATGATATTCGTCCTCCCGAGACCATCCTCCGGTCCCACGAATATATCTCGATAGCTATGTAGTGTCTCAGCTACTTTACTTCGCTGCTCCGGTCTCAGTTTTGCATCTACCCTATCCAGTAGGTTCTGTAGGTGATCAGCTAACTTGGTGGGTGCCATGCCGTCCAGCACGCTCACCAACTGCTGTCCTGGCTGTGTCTCACTCTCCTCCACTGGTTTGAGCTCCCCTACTTGCTGATCCTCCAACAACAGGTTAGGCTTCTCTCCTGTGTGGGAGATAACCAACGGTACCTTCATCACATCCCTTGCGAATACCATCTGCTCCATCCGAATCCCCTGTGCCTCCAACTTATGAAATTCTGGGATAGGCACTAGCCTTACATGCTTTCCTTGGGATACCTTATCGTCAGCATAAGTCCATCCAGGGATTCGGTATCTTTTCCCTGGCCTCAGCATCGTCGTCTCCTCCACGTATACTGGTCTACCATTCTCTCCACCTGTCCAAAATCCTTGAACCTCTCTCCCATCAAGTGATAGCATTCCTGTAGTAATGTTCAGGATAGCATTGTTTGGGACGAGAAAGTCGAGTCTTAATTGAGCTTAATTGTGCAATTAAGCCTTAATCGTTCAATTTATGAATAAACTGACTGTTGGAATCGACTCCCCGCCCCAAAATACCCCTATTAACATGTATAACATGACTATAAAGTGTTTAGGTAAGATTTACACAATTTTCCCATAATCGCGAAAATCGGAAAAAGAGCGTGGCCCGTAAAAAAGTTTCCGACCAACGAAAATTTTGTAACTTTTTTGGGGGGGTTTATATGGACCAATACCAACACATTAGTGAAGAATCCAGCTTATTTCACTCGATTTCTAGGTAGAGGCCTTATTTGGCACTTTATGACTGGACTATTCATTAATATTCTGGATGACTTGTCAAAGAAACGTCTCACATTTGGCAGAACTACAGCCAAGTGAGAAGGCTCTCATTTTACATAGGTATAAACTTGATAAGTTCTACATGTCCTAAAAGCTTCGATATCGCAGACAGGTTAATTTTGAACAATTCACCAAAAAATATAAATTTTTCCTATTTCAAGAATGTATATGATAGTTGTTCTTCACAAATTTGGTGTCCCAAAAAATCCATCTCTAACATCAGGACAAAATTAACTCGACTTAATTTGCACAAATTGTACTGTGGTACAAATATGTAAGCGTTCTGCATCAGCGATATCGATCCACACCTAACATCGCAAGTGTAATTTTACAACATCGCGCAACGAATGTCATCAACCGAAGTTACTGCAAATGACACAAGATATTACTATATTTACCTTTGAAATTTCTCCCTCATGACCTTGGAACTTGGCCAGGCAGTATTGTGTTGCCACGCGATACATAAGGCCTGTACAATCAGCTGACGCTGTGAGAAGATATTGTCCCGTCGCGTCAAATGCCACGTCCAACACCTCATCAGTGTGATCCCGAAGAGTTCCCACGCACATGCCTACAAACAGCAAACTTGTGACCATAATTTTTTGCCACCATAATGACCAACCAGATTTACTAGCATTTATATTGATGTGAAGACTATCCATATGTTAAATACTTTAACAAGACTTTTCACACAATATCAATTCACACAAGGTTTGCAAGCAATGAATGATGACCTGTTCTGTATAATATAAATCTCGGTAGGAAAATCTCGATTATGAAGAGTGATCACATCTGTGCTGCACTGCATCAGTAAGTCATTGCTGCAAAACTAAACAAAACTTATCCTCACCAGAAGCTGTGTCCCACAGCTTGCACGTTCTGTCCATGGATGCGCTGGCGATCACAGAAGCATCATAATTAAACTGTACATTGCTGATTTCTGCACGATGACCAATTAAGGTATGTACCTGACAAAATATGAAAAATAACAAAAGCATTAAAAATGACTAAGATAATGAGATTAATAAAAAAAAGAAGTTAAAATATGTTACAACATGAATTACTTTTTCGTCATAAACTGCATTGCACGATGAAAGGCTGTCATGTTGTATACACTCAACCATTTATTGAATAGCATATATACAGTTTCCAAAAAGTGCTCCCAGTTCAAAATGTTTGAAAAGTTAATGGCTCCAGGTGCGATCTCCCACCACTTTGAAATAGTATTTTTAGACATGAACTAATGGTCTTTGATCAACTTTTCGCCACATAACTGACTTCTGGACCCGATTTCACGAGAAAAATCAGTTTAAATCCATAAATCTCAATTTAGCTGTCATTGATTTGTAAAAGTATAAATTAAGGATTCAAACTAATTTGGTGACCGTGATTAGAACCCAGTTTGCAACGGTTAAATTTATGGAAATAAATAAAAACTTTACACAATGCTGAATTAATTATTACTCATTTTATTCTCACAATACTGTTGGAACGATACATATAAATGTACTAGATAAGTATCCTGTAACTAATGAGTCCAGCTCCGGATGCCTGGAGTGCTGTCTGGAGTACATGTCGACAACTTAGATCCATTAGATGATCATAATGAATGTGGAGAAGAGCCAGTGCAGTTAGATGCTCTTGACCCATAGTGGTTCTCATGTATACTTATTGAGGCATCTCATTACACTGGCGCTTGTCACACATTCACATGGGGTCCCTGGTTGGCCAGTTGCAGCAAGCCAGCAACGAGTAGATATTTGGGAAAAAATTAAGTCCTTTGAGCATGGTTTGATTGCATATGCTGGGGTTGAAGGTCGCTTATTGTCGACAAAATTGTAAAAGCGGGATATCCATCTACGCAGATCAAAGTTAATAAGTTAGGGTGAAGGCAAGTCACAGCTGTATGTTTCTACAAAATCAGTGAGGTCAACTTCCTGGGAACATATAACAGATGGTACTAAGCCCAGAAGTCTCACTGCCGTGGCTAAAAAATTTGGTAAATGACTGTCCAATTGTGTATTATTAGTAGCTAAAGAGTAGTAGCGTAGACAATTTGGGGTGTTCCAGGACTTGTTTATTTTGTACTAATCTGGCAGTGTGTAAACTCTGACTTCTGAGACTAATGTTTGTGCGGAGACTCGTAATCACACATTTTGAAGATTGATTGTTACATTGTGGCAATTAACGTGTCCTACCCACACCTCATATGGTTTGTTCGTTACTGCCTGCGATCTGCGAACTTGTGTACAGACATGTCTGTATCCACCCATTAAAATAATATGGCTACTGCACTGTGAATGAATGTGTGCTGCAGAATACTGCGAAGCAATCGATAATGAGGATCGACGAAACTTTTCATTGTTGTTAATTTGTCTTAATATATTACTCTACACACCACCACCGGTGTTTTAAATTCGAAATAGGGTTAAAAAATCTTTTGTATACACTTGAGCAGAACTCCCAATCCCGTCGGGGAGGGGGGTTGTCTGAACCCCCTGAACGCCCTCCCCTGGCCACCGGCACGGCGATGCCCGACCTCTCTTCCCCGGAGCCTGACGAAGACGACGACTCCTGGGAGGACGGATGGCCATGCAGGCCGTGCCCAGAAGCAGAGATCGTCAGACAGTTCAGCGGGTCAGGACCATTACAACAAGAATTCCAGGTAGGGGAGTCCAACTACCCCTCAGACTTCAACCCCGAAGACATAGCCGCCATGGCCCAAGGGATGGCTGCGGCGGCCATCTTGTCCACCATGACGACACCATCAGCCCCCTCACCCGACGCATCCGATGAGGAAGTCGACCACTGACGTCAACTGAACTTCACGTCGCTTCACTTCGCAGCCACAGAACCGCGAATATCCCCTAGTAGTTTTGTACGGTGTGCGGCCGCGTGGTCGAGGCCCAAACCAGTAGACAATAATGTAACATTATTACGTATTGTGTATTATGTATGTATTGTATTGATGGTAGCTATGTCGCTATCTAAAAGAGCATGTAAACAAATTCGGCTATAAAATTACCATGACGCGTAAGGCCAGCCAGGAGGCTGGTATTCGATGACCACTTTTGTGAACATCGGGTTAGTGGGGGGAGAAGTGTAACGCCGCAAAGCGTTACAGGCCAATAGAGCTACTAATTCCCCCACCACCGACGCAATGCGGAGAAATGTAGCAGCTAGATATCACTAGCCGCTACGACTCGGTTATAGGTCACACGGCACTTAGCTACGACTCGGTTATAGGTCACACGAAGACGGCATCGGCTAGTTAGCAGTAGCCGCATCCGCGTCAACAAGTCCATTAGAAATCACTTAGAAATAGATTAGAGCCACTTAGAGACCGATTAGAGCGCCGAGATGCGCCCTGCCAATTAGGGGTCACTTAGGAGCGCCGCATCGGCGTCTCACCCATTAGAGGTCAATTAGAAACAGATTAGAGTCACTTAGAAACAGATTAGACAATAACATCTATAGTGACTCAAGTAGTCCTCTCGGTCGAAAACAACTCAACGCCTACGCGAATCTGTGTAGCACGTGCGAAGGGCGTGTATGACGCCCTCGCGAATGTGTACGGCGCCTGCGCGAGGCGTGTGCAACGCCTTTGCGAGTACGTATGACGCATGTGTCACGCATGCGCCGCGGGCGTGCCTGTGAGTATAAAAGCCGGAACGCGAGCAGAATCGGGATTAGACAACTCCTTGTCTGAACGCAGGTGTCAGACGAGGAGAAGAGAGGAATCTCCCGACGACTGCTGTTGCTGCTGCTGCAGCTGCTGCTGCTGCGACAACAGAACTGCTGCTCCTCGTCCGAACGTAAGGGTCGGACGAGGAGGAGATAGAGGAGGCTCTCGACAACCAGAAGCGACTGCGACTAAATTTTGTAACACTGTAACTGTTCTGATCTTCAAGTAAAATACGAATCATGGTAAACATCTGATCTCTATTCTTATCTATGTGCATTGGCTACGCACAACATTATAATTCACACTTAACACAGTAACGTTAAAACGTGCGTTACATAAACAGACAGATTTCAATCATTGTATATTTGTGTGAAAATAACTGAGTGTTCTAAGACATGTTAGCCATACTTTAGACACTTGCTGTCACTCAATAAATATCAGTAATGTGGTTGTCAGATAAATATGAAAATGGTTAGAAAAACTCTTTGAAATAATTACTTTAAGTGAGAATATTATAACATCATGCTTATAAAGATGTATTGCAGTTCTTCATGGCCACATTAACTAATTATACACCACTCTAAAGAAATGTGCTAGATTAAAATACTAAATATAATATTACCACAATTATATAAGGACTGCTTTCAAGAGTCATTGGTGTTATGCATATAGTCAGGAGTGCTGTTCAAAGCTAGAGTGTCACACGATGTGAGAGTTGAGGTGAAGCCACACCAACTAATTGCTTGTGGTGCAAATATTGTTGGCTTTGTTGGGGAGAAGGTCGCAAAGAGAAAGTTGGGTGAGATGTACCTACTGCATTAATTCATAGTCCTTCCTAGTAGTAGTGGATGAGGAGAGACATCAGCTAGGCATGGGGTGACATGCCACCCAGGTTCTAGCTTACTCACCTCCTTTACAAAATAGGCAAATTGGGTGACTGCAGTGCTTGCTGAGACGCGTGACATTGTGTTTTATCACTGAAAATCTGTGTGGGTGGGGATGCACACGGGCGTTGTAACAGAGAGAAGGCTGTTTTCAATCCGAGATAGCGAAGTCAATTACATAGATGGTGGGGAACAGTATCGCTGATTATTTTATGCTAATATTTGTAGATTTTTCTTGCCTGATAGTGTATTTGATTTTATCCCTTATTCATTAAATTAACACTTTTACTGTCTGCAAAATAAGGCTTGAGGTATGACAGTATCTTCACAGTGCCAATGAAAATAGTGTATCTAATTATGTGACTTTCACAGCAGACCAGACAATTAAGCCTCACGTAGTTTTGAATGAGACTCTCACAGGTAGATGTCATTTCAAATACCAACAACAAGATAGGAATCTCTCAAATATCACAAATATAAACAGAAATAACAATTACCCACGAATATGTCTGGAGAATAGCGATTTCACAGGCATAACATCTATTTTGAGCATTGCAGGTCTCAAACGATGATCTATGTTGTAAAATTACCAAATCTAGACTCTTAAAACAATCAGGGGCTGTACCACCCTCAACCTCGCTTACCTTGCCAGCATATCAAAGCTCGACACTCAGCAGTTAAATACTTTTGCACAATCAGACCTTGAGAGCTCTGGTTATCGCGAGATCAACTCACATACCTTCTTTCCCATACGAACGTCCCACAGGCAAACGGTGCTATCAAATGAACCTGTTACAATTTCATTTCCACTGCAGTTGAAAGAGAGGGCTATGACCTCTCCGGAATGGCCCTGCAATATGCATGTAAAAGAGAAAGATTACACCTTTTCAACCTTGAGAATACTTGAAGTAACACCTTGAAATATGACCTTGATTTTTTTAGTTTTACTAAAGATATTTGGCACCAAGATACGTTGGCATAAGTACACCTGACACTGTGCATAAATAGTTTGGAAGTTATCCTTTATGCAAAGTGCTCAGACTCCAGTGGTAAATGACATTATAAGAATGCACAAATTTAATCAAATTTATGCTTATACTGTACTCAACTGTTTCAATATACGAAAGATGACCGTGGTGACAGAGCAGGATCCCGGGTTTGGCCAATGCAATGAGTAACCTCAATCATTGCTTGTAGTTTCTGGTCATTGCTAGGCGTCAAACATGTTTTTAAAACAGATTCTTTGTTTTGGGGACCAATGTTACAATTGGAACCGTTTACGAGAGTTTGTAACGAAGACAATTGATTTCATGACTTCTTTGAATGTGTGCTCCACACATTCACTCTCACCTGAACCTTACAACATACCGGCCAATGCCTCGGTGCATCAAAACGATTATCCTATCCAATATAGTGGTAGTGACTGTAGCTACATCTCAAGCAAATGCCTGCCTTAATTACCATTGAATGTGTCAATAATACCATTGTCAAATTTCATAGCCTGGCTTATCACTGCAAACAAACTTTTGGCATCAGCTGTTTTGCATTCCAAGAAAAAACAGCGCACAATGACTGGTATTGCACAGAAAGCGTATACTATTTCATTGTCACTCACACTACAATTGGACATAAATGTGCAAACTATAGCTGATGACAGTTTGTTTAAAGGCATAATAGGCCCCTTGATTATGCAAGGTTGACGAATGCTACAGTAACTGGCACCTTCTGTAGTTAATAAGTACATTACCTTATAGCCAAACGCGTATTAGTTTGTCCAATATCACTGCTAATTACTAAGAAATGTCTAATTGAAATCCGTAAATCTGGTAATCTGGCGCCAACGCTAAACTGGTTGCCAAGCAAAATAGCCTCGAATTCGGTTAGGTGACGTCACATGTTGCTACGGGTGTTTAGCAGAGAATTGATTGTCCCGGGAAGCTTATATACGACTAATGAGCTAGTAGAATGTATCTCTGGCCCTGGGTGTATTCTCGGTATTGAGGCACAAGTAAATAACCGTGGGTGCTAATGAACGGGTACCCACATGTCTTCAATTTCGGACACAGGTGTATTCGTTTGACCAATATACGTAAATACGCGTAGTGCCGTCTGCTTTCCATGTTTAGTCTGTGGCCGTGGTTATTCCGTGATCCCCCCCATAGTGTTGGCCCCCAACACAGCCTACTTCATTATCACGAGCGTCCGTGATTCGTACGTGGATTCCACGTTCATTACAATCAGAGCTACTGTTACGTATACAGTTACAGTACTGTACTATCGCTAGCATTGCGTACGGCCGAGCGAAAATGCATGCGTGCGTGCGTTTTTGCATGCGTGCGAAAATGTCCGATGCACTATGAATCTGTATCACACCCGTTTCGCAGTATGCGGTTTCGAAACTGTAAACAAGTCAGTCAACTGATTTCTTGGACTGCGGATTTCAATTAGGCATTTCATAGTAACCAGCAGTGATATTGGACAAACTAATACGCGTTTGGCTATAAGGTAATGTACTTATTAACTACACAAGGTGCCTGTTACTCTAGCATTCGTTAAAATTGCATAATCGATGGGCCTATTATGCCTTTAAATGAATGAACATCTTTAGATAATGGTTTATTTGCTCAAGATTCCTCGACACCAGAGTTTCATATGATTCCTTTTTATTTTCAACATGATCTATGTCATTATTGTGCCGTTGGCTGTCCCGACGTGTGCAATGTGCACCATATGTTAGGTTTGAACTCCCAACCATGAAGGCACCTTTAAAATGTTTTTGCATGCAAACTATCAGGAATTGATCCTATACTGATCTCTCCATAAACAGCCATTTATGTTCTGCAGCCTATTTCCTCTATGGTTTCATCACAAATCAACAAATTCTAGTCCCTATCCTTCCACGACTCAAGAGTTACACACTTTTTTGTGTATTCAATTTCTCTTACTTTGTTGTTTGCATTATGCCTTTTATTCCCCCGAAGCACATTCGTGTCAGTAATACCTAGATATATAAATATTCTGCGCCCATATGATAGGTTTAACAGATGCCATTTCACATGCTTCTGTTAAGTAATTAGTTTTCAGAGGTTTTAAATGAGATTGCGGACTTATATAAACCGGACAGCAATAGATTATATACTGCCATCCGAGAGAACAAATCAGTGGTCCTGCTACACATATGGTGGTTCTGGCCATCACGTATCAACAAACAAATAGATTGATAAATACAAATAAGTAATACACTGTTTTGCAACAACATCTGGTAGCAATTATTTTGAGACAGTCGCCTAAAAATTCCCATCATTCCAACGAATGTATAACTTAGAATACCCACCTGTCTGCCTCAATATTAACCGATCAGGGATGGCGAGACCGGCACCAATTTCCTACACTGTCAATGTCACAAAATTTTGGGATTTTCAGGTTGCTTTTTTTACAGTAGTACGTACTCATTTTACAAAACTTACACACAAAGATGTCAGTGCCTGCCCAGTTTCAACATCCCATAGCCTTGCCTCCGTGTCCATTGATCCAGTCGCTAAAACAGTGCTTTGTGGGTTGAACGCAACGCAGACCTGTTACAAAATGAATTCATTAATTTAGAAACACAGCGCAATAAGGAACATCTACAACCACAAACACAGAGGACAGCTAGGTATCACGTACAGAATAAAGCTGTAGTGTAAGTAGCACGCAGTAAAAATTGCAAGCCATTGTGTCTGCCAGGGACGCTGCCGCCACCGTGGGTTGATATCCTTACCAGCCAAGTTAGATATTGGTAAATGAACAATTTCAATTAAAATGTACAATTTTACCTCTATTTTGGTCTGCAGGTATAAAATAAATCAATGATGTAACGACGTTCTCAAAGAGATAAGCTTCACTGTTAAATACACAAAATATTTTTAGTAGACATGTATGCCCCTGGAAGACTCCTGAATCATAGGTTTTCACACCCTCTCTAACAGTTTTAGTTATATACTAATCACTCCACTAACACATTTTTACCGGCGTTTGTTGGTTTGTGGGTTTCTTTGTTTGTGTATAGCCTAACTAAAAAAGTTATGGACGGATTGTCATAAAATTTTCAGGATAGGTCAGAAATGGGCTAACTTAGAATTGATTAGATTTTGGTAATCGATAATTAATTAATTAATAACATTTTTCAGTCAGAGAATTGAGCTGCCTTGGTGGAGGTCTGCGCTCTCCGAGTGCTCTAGTCTATATATGCAACATGTATGCTAGGTCTTCTAATGTTTCAACCTCACATATGCTGCCAGATATACATGCCGACTTACGAAGTCTCATTTAATGAACAATAGCCCCAACCCATCATTATTTTAAAAACAACAAAGGCTAACTGTTATGTGTCACTAGTGAAATGAAAACATACACACAGTGGGAATTGATGTATAGATCGGGGTTTATTGCATATGATATGCGTAGTTTTTCTCAGATTAGCTTATTTAAGTGCTTGTTTCTCAGCTAATACAACTAAAAATCTTAAGATATCACACTAAACAATTGACATATTCAATGTGCATAACAGGCATTACTTGCCAACCATTATTGCGACAGCAGACAGGATTACCTAAAGAGAATGCTTGGCAACAAAGTTCCACAAATTAGACATTTTGACATGCAAACGTGACAAACACATAATCACTAGTATAGCATAGCAATTAATTCTGGGTTTTATTACAATACTTATTTGCGTTTCACAGGGGTATAGGTGAACTTCATGGTGTACACAGTCAACAGCTATAGTTAAATTGTAATGAAATGTTATTAGTAAATAGTTTTAAATGTAAGAAGCCAAAGTTTAAGGAAAACTTATTTTAAATATCACTTTAATGACAAGACGTAATTTTGGAATGCACAATAAATTACAACCTTACGTATATAAATGCTTAGGATTTAGATATAAACACAATACATGTAGTTATCGTATTATAAACTAATATCCATGGAGCCCATTGTCAGAAACATCGTAAAGTTAAGGCTAATGTTAAGACTAATTTTGTTTCTGACAACAGGCCCCCACTTATTCTCTTTTGATATAAATGGGTGTGTGCGACTGTGCGTGCGCGTGTGCATGTGTGTCTTTGTGTGTGTGTACCTATATATATATATAACGTTTATATAAATGTTCTCCCATTTGTGGGTGCTTGATCGTGCCGTGATCGTCCCACAGTGATGACCAGGGGTGACACGTCAGGTCTTGTACCTGGCACTGTCAGGCACGTTCCGTTATGACCAACCACGACAGTGACAGAAATGGAAACACGCAATAATTAATACACTTGGCTATATAATAGCCTTTTACTAAACACAATATATTACAATAATAACGTTATCTGTGGACGGTGCGCAGCTACCTGTGCACGCACAAGTTATATAAAGCTAATTAGCTGAACTTATGCAAGACTCACACGTGGCAGTAACAATACAATTCAATGGCGAATTCTTACAACCTGTAGCTCATGGTGCCAGTGGTCTTGATTGTATATCGTGGCTTGGTCGGAGCTGCAAACTGCTCTTCTCTGGAGGAAGTCCGACTGGAACTGCTCGGCAACTGTCATATGCCTCTGTTATATACTCGCCAGCCCAGCCTGGCTTTGTATAGAGGCCACACAAATTGTGCACGTGCTCACGTCGTGGGGGGGAAGCTCCTCTCCAAAGCTACCATGCGTATTTAAGCTGAAGCTGCCAACCTACACGTCAGTAATAGTAACTGCTGGACGTGCTGAGGTTGCATCAAGCTTCATGCACACCTAGTTAAGTTGTATGTATTTATTGTATGATGTATACACATATGTATTTCCACCAGACATGTATAAGTGCACACTGCGCAGACATACATGACATGACACGGAAATCGTTACACTGCACGTCCGTTTTTTTTTGCTTTTGGCACCGCCATAGTCTTACCACGGCGATATTAGCGTATTTTGGGGCGTGTCCCGGCACTTGCGATACTAGCGCTACCTTATTTTTTGCAGTAATTTAGCAGTATTTTTTGCTGTACATGAACATTGTGATATACAGTTGGCCACGTAAAGCGAAGACAAGTATAGTGAAGGTGATTTCTACCCGTGATTGCATTAGTGGTTACGCGTGAGTGTTTATGTTACACCCTTTGCTAACGTCTATCAAACACAGATTATAGGGAGCATAACAACAATGGTGTACGTATTCAAATATTCTCTTTAATTGCTCTGCCTTAACTATGTATAAGCCCATAGCAGGGCAACCGCGTACACTGGAGGTGCGCGAGTAACATCACAACTTACGAGGCTATTGCTGTGTCGTGCTATTTTCTAACCAATGCGTAGTATATCTCAACCCTCTCTTTCTCACTCTCTCTCCGATCCTGTCTCTAGCCAAACACGCGATTATATACCCACATTTGTAGACCTGCCTACATATTGTTTCTGGTCACTGCGTTCTATGCTACTGCCTGTAATTGGCTAATTCTACCACTGTCTAGTCCAGAGTTATATTATAACTTTACACAGCTAGCCTGTATCCCAAAATAGAACAATAGCTTAGTCATGTGTATTTATTTCTGTCTTTCTGCGGTATTACATTATCCCCCCCCCCATTAGAAAAAGTTGTAAGCCACAGCTATGCGGCAAACAACGTCATAATAAAACAAGTGCCGCGGAGCGACAGCGCTCATCTCACGTCTACTGCGGTGACTCTGTGGTGGAGTGGTGGGATTCTAGTAAACCCTGTTAGTCCCAAATGTGTTCACATACACGCCGAAACAGTGGAAGGCACAGGGATGGTATCAGGAACCTTCTCGAAGGAATGTTCGTTGGGATCGTTATGAAAGTTGTCACGAGATGGCGCGTACGTTTAAGTGTCTTAAGATTAAAGATGGAAGCTCCCATCGTTCGTAGTAGCAACAACTATTTGCAAGACAGAATAGGTAAGTACTCATCCATTTACCTACGCAAGCCTACAGGCTGATATAGAGAGCTGCCACCTGTAACTAATTAACGCAGGCAAAAACTACACAGTACTATCACCACCACATGCACTGGCAGTGGCTACTGGCAGTGGCATAAGTTACATGTAACACACTGACAGTACAGAATGCCATAAAAATTATACGATTTAAGGAGCATAAACCTTCTTCAACTAAATTTAGCTTTTGAAATTTCACTGTGACATTGTAGCCTCATACGTCCAGGCATGTCTAGATTCTACTAGCACAAACCCGGCAGTAAAATTCTTTCTAACAGTAAACAAATCCATGTTAACCCTCCTCTTGAGGTCAAAAGGTTATCTGAACACTTACTCTTCGCATGTCAGCGGAAAGTACATTCATGGTCCTTTCAATAAAGCCATAAAAATGGTAGGTCACCGCTGAAGACAAAAGTTTTTCAATCGCTCCTCAGACCATGTCTCAGAAAATGTCTAAAATCTGCCCTGTGCCCCATTGACCTGTGAACTCCAATTTCAGCACAGTGATGGCTTTTCTACCATGATGCTATATACCGACTATCACGAGCCTAGGTCGAGCCGTTTAGATTTGTGCGCAATTCTGCATTTCCTCCCTATACATTAAGTTAAGGAGGGAATGTTCCCCCCTTCTTTTACGCCTCTTGACCTTTGACCTTTGACCCTCAGCTTCGACATCCCAACTCGTTTTCAGATTACCCCCCCACGTCCCGACTTTCGAATCTGTACGTCTAACCGTTTAGATTTGTGCCCAACTGTTGATGGACGCACGGACGGCCGGAAGGCCGGACGGACGGACGGACGATCATGCGATTCTACAAGAGCTAAAAATTGGTGTTGCGTTTACTTGAATACGTCAATTTTTTTAATTTTTGTTTTTGTTTTGTTCCGGAAAGATTAAATTATCTGTGTATCTAAACTCTAAATTTCTCTATTATATATTCTTTCTTTGTTTTGTCTCTTTATGGATATGAATTATACTATTCATGCTGATTTTGTTACTTAAACCCCTTCACCCAGATGAGACGGGATACTAGAGAAAGCGTTGCCGAAAGGTGTTGATCCGAAGCGCTGAGCGCAGATCTTGCGCGCAGTTCCGCGGCAAGGCGCACGCAACCGCGGGAACGTCCTACAACAGTATGCAGCGCTGGCAGCTATGGATCCGTGCGTCGAATGCATAGGCCGGGCACGGATCCATAGCTGCCAGCGGAACAGTCGAGAATTTTTACTGGGAATACAATGAAAGAGCTCAGGCTGCATGAGCTGCTGTTCTTTGGCAAGTTCAATGAAAATATCAATAAAAGTGTCAACACCTTCTACTTCTACACTGTGTTGTATAAGTTTTATTATGAATTGTATTTTATTATCCGTGTCGTTGCCGTGGTGGTCGTCGTCGTTGTACATAGTCCGTGCTGCTGTGGGGGTCCGTGTCATCGTCCGGGGTCGTCATGTTCACTGATTCCCGAGGGCAACCCCGGGCAGTGGCACCTCCTCTATGGGCACGATTTGGATGGCACAGGCCTCATCGCTGAGGTGTACCACAGTAAACCCAGGATTGAGGCGTCTGAAGCGGAGCACATCATCCAAAAATGTGCTCCAACTGCTA